ATTGAGGTCTAGGGCTTGAGGCTTTAGAGTTTAGGCTTAGGGTTTAGGGTTATGACTTGCAGTACTGGGATAGAGTCACACATGCTTCGAATAAGAATTACTAATACTAGGAACTCAGGATGTTCGGAAATAGGAAACGTATAGGAGTTCGGTGGGAAACCCTAGGTGTCGCTACAAAAATCGAAAAAGCACCGAACTTAGTGTATTTTCGAACATCCTATGCTTGTTCCTATTGTTTTCATATACTTCCCTTTGAACGCCCTATCCCCAAAAAATAGGGAACACACACAGGGGAAACACAGTATTAACATGGTATTTCGATGCGAAACCCTGGATTTCTATGCAAAAAACCGACAAGCACAGAACATGGTTAATTGTCGACGCAGTCCTATGTTTTTCTAAATATTTCCTTATGTTGTACCCTGTTTTTCCTCCAAAATAGGGGAAATTCGAGAAACATGGTATAGAAATAGGATTTCGGTGCGAAACCCTAGGTTTCGATGCCCGATTCAAAAAGACGCGAACGAACAGTGGTCCTTCTCGACACAATCCGATTATATTCCTTTTTTCCCATAAACTCGGATTGTCCCGATTCCGGAACTATGCCAATTTTGTACCTGACGATCAGGGTTTGACAATCTCTTTGCCGGAGCCAGCTCCTGCTGTAACTGAAGCGAGAACCGCTCATCCATCCAAACCACTAACGGCCTAACAAGATCTTCCTAGGCCCAATAGGGGAAGCATAACATGTCGCAAAGGCCTACCTAGAAGACAGGACCTCAGCAGCCTCGACCCCAAAACCCTTTGACCCCTACACCCCCAAAACCTACAACCGGCGCACCTTCACTTGGAGGTCTCTGGTGAGAAGCAGGTTCAGCCTTGGTCAGACAGCTGGCACTGCGTGGTTAGCGTTTTCAAAACCCTTAACTCCAAACCCTAGGCCCTTAGCATCAAAATAGCCCAAAAGCCTTATACAATAGAGTCTTTGCGCCCAAAGGCCTTAAAATATGTGTCCTTTGAGGGTAAGGGTTATAGACTCCTAACCCCGCAAAATTTCAGATTTTGTGCCTATTGGGTGTCCGGATCAAGGGGCTTCGGGTGACCGAATCGCCCCGAGCTGATGCCGTAGTTCGTGGCTTTGCGATAAGGCTTCCGTTTCAAACTCCTTTTGCGGATGAGAGTGTACCGTAGTTGCAGGGGTTTCGGGGTTTTTAGAGGTCTTGGGCTAAGGTTTGGTTCTCATGCATGCATCTGCGGAGTTACGAAGGACGAGATGAACATAGAAATGCCGCCTTTGGGCTAAAATCATGCGAGATGGCAACTGAAAGTCTAAATACCCAGAGGCTCCTTAGTGGTTCCGTTTTGGGATTACCTTATAGGATTCTAAATATGAACCATAAAAAGGAACTACTTAGGAGCCTATGGGTAAAGTCTAAATCGTGCGGGCTCATAATCAGGATCGTGTCTGACAGCTACGTTCCCTTGTGGATTCTTGCGCATGCGGTTGTTACGGCCACCAGGTAGCCTTACGACTCGGCGCCGAAGCCCCCAAAAAGGGCACCCCTGAACCCGATACCCTAAACCCCTAAACCCCAAACCCTAAACTCTAAACCCTAAACCCCTAAACCCCTAAACCCCTAAACCCCTAAACCCTAAACTCTAAACTCTAAATCCTAAGCCCCTAAATCCCTAAACCCCCAAACCCTAAACTCCAAACCCAGAAGGCACAGCTGAAGATTCGGAGGCAGGGCCCCAGAGCCGCCGGACTACAACTTTCGGCCCTACCTTAAAGGATCTTTGAAGGTAACGAAATAGACTTTTGACTAGCTATAACGCTCCTTACGAAGTCCTCCAAGTAGCACCAAACCCTACAGAATAGTAACTTCTGACCCCTTCATCACAGGGTATACTTAGCCCTAGCAACAGTAGGTTCTGGATCCCCAGGTATAGGTCCCAGCCCGTCAGCCGAGAATGCCTGGGACGATTACTACCACTAGCTGCTTCTGAAAGGCGACTGCTGCTGCGACCACTACCACTGAATAAAAGTGCCAGCTGTCCAGCACCCCGGGACCCAGTTTTCATAGCTAGCAATAGAATCGTGAAGTTGATGATGATCGGAACAATGATCATGGCATGCTGATATGATGGTGATGATGATGGTGGTGATGATGATCATGATGATCATGATGATGGTGATAACGATGCAGATGAATAATATGAAGATGACTAATAACATGTTGCTGATAACTGTGATGATACAACAGAGCCTGCCGAGCCACGGCTTCAAATCTCGATGAATTATGGGATGATTCAGACCATGCAGGTAGGCCAGGGCCTGGCACATCTGTTGAACAGAGTTCCCAGAGAACCCAATCCCCTCAATTAAGAAATGTAGCATAAGTCAGAATATGAGGGCCCCTATAATTTAAGGTATATTCCTTATTTAAAGGGTCTTGGGTTCTGAGTTTGCGGGTTTCAGGGCTTTTGCTCTAAGGGTGTATATGAACGGTTTAAGGTTTTTATATGTGCAATTTAGGGTTGAGGGTTTAGGAGTATGCGTCCTTGGTGGGATGTTGTCGGGCTTCAAAAGCGTTATGCCAGGGTCTCAAGAGTAAGGGTACCTGCCTTTGGGGCTTGAGGTTAGCAACAGTCTTGGGGCCTGGGAGGACCTCAATGGTCATTGAGGCGCCTAGACTTCGAAAACTAGAACAGGGTTTTGGAGTATGTAGTGCTCTAGCCTATCTTAAATATACGGAATAGAAGGGTATGATCTTTCCATGTATTCCGGCTTCTCAATTGGCTTGCAAATGCATTGGAGTAGGGGTGGGCAAACCGAGGGTGCTGAAAACTTTTTCACAGGGTTTGCTCAGGGATATGCACATGCCGTAGACTCGTGCGACATAAAATCGAATTCTAGGTTGCCTTACTTATAACCTCACTTATCGCTTCCTTTGAACCTCTATGCAACGTCGTCTACGGTGTGCGAGCCTTCAGGACAACAGCCATAGTGCTGCAAATGCTGCCATGAAACCTAAAAAGACTCTTGACCAGATTAGGATTCAGGCTTTAGGGTTTAGGGTTTAAGGCTTGGGGTTTAGGGTTTTAGGTAGGGTTTAGCGATTTAAATAGTGTAGGGTTTAGGGTTTCTGCAGGTTTGATGGTTGAAGACTTTAGGAGTTGTGACTGGGATCCGGGGATGTTTTGCTTTGGGGCTTAGGGGTTTAGGGTTGTGGGCTCCGGGACGTCTTTTGTGTTCCTTCTCTTCCACACCTTTGCGACAAGAAGGGGCTTGGGTTTAGCCGAGCTGAAACTCCAAAACCCTACCAAGCCAACCTGAGCAAGTTCGAGCTTACCCATTGACTTCAGCACCCAACAGGCAAGATAGCGGCTGGCGAGCTTCCTGTGTGCATCCCACACCAAGAACGACATCCATTGCAAACCTGCTGCTGAGACTCTACTCTACGCCACGAAACCCTTGAACACCATCTACCAGTAACGTGTGATTACATAAGACCCTAAACCCAGTAGTCCGTGCTAAACTTAAATGCAAATCTCCGCTGTACATGTCGATGCCAGCGTCACCCCCCTCCTCCCCCCCCCCAAAAAAAAAACATGAACAGGAACCCACCCGAACGCATCGAAATGCTGCGAAATCCGTACAACCCCTGTTTAAAGCCTCTACTATAGGTGCCTTTGTAATTCGAAAACGTGCTTGGAGTACAGTATCATTGCACTATCATCAGTAAGGAATGCTAGATTGGTCGTTACTCAGGCCCCTACATTCCACAAGTCTTGGCTCCTCTATCACACAGCGAACCCACAAAATTAGAAACATGGGTTTCAAGATGATTCCGCTGGGATCCCGTAGACTTTAGCTCAAAGAGCGTGAAGATTCCAACTTCATGGCTTCTACTGGCTTGCAGTAGGGTTTGGGGGTTGGGGTTTGGGGGTTAGGGTGTGGGTGCGAGGTACTGCTATATATTCTGCACATGTGGCCTCTGCAGTGGAGGTTGCCCACTGAAGAGCAAGCGAAAATCGCGGCTTGAAGGAATTGTTGTACCTGGTAGCCCAAAGCCCTAAACCCCTAAACCCTCTACACCCCAAACCCAAAACCCTAAACCCCAAACCCTAAATCCTAAAACCTAAGCCGGCTATGGATACTTCAAGTGTTAAGGACTGAGGCTGCGGGGTCTAGGTCTTTTGGTGGTCTGTTGGCATTTAGCCAATTTCTCTTTAAAGCCGCTGAACCATAGTCGTGAAGAGGATCCTCTTTGGCCCAGAAAGGGGCAATCCGAGATGTCCCAGCGGCCTGCCTAGCTAAGAATTTTGGAGCTCGACTGGTCCTCGGGCTTGGAGCTTATGGCTTGGGTTTAGGATTCAGGAGTTCAGGGTTCAGGGTTCTAGGCTTTTTCGGTTTAAGTGTTGGGTTCAGGGCTCAGGGATGGAAGGTTTCTATCAAGAGACATGCAATGAACCCTTATGCCAAAAGTGCCCTTCGGACTCCCACGAGATAAACGTTTTGAGCGCCAAAACCAGCCTTCGAAAACACAGACTAGTAGCTAGAGAATCTAGATGTGAGAAACCCCATACTGATAGTCATCTGCTCTCAAACGACAAAACCTGAATACTGCGAGACCCCTGCTGTAAGCCGATAAGGTTGAAATAGCAACTGGCTCCCAATTGACCACTCGGGACCGGTGTTTTTTTTGGGTTTCGGGACGTAACTCTGTCACAGGGGTTTCGCATTAGGGCTTTCGTAGGGTTCTTGATAAGGCTGCTAACTTCTGCTGGGGTTCAGGGTTTAGGGTTCTAGGACCCTCGAGGACTTAAGCTGGAAGTATAGGTTAGCATGGGGCCCGCCATTGCAAGAGGGTCGAGGATTTTTCGAGAGTGGAAAGAAGGGACTGTCCTGTAAAGGGGGGGTTAGAACTTACTTCTACTTCTTATAGACTGCTAAGCTCAAGATGTGAAGGCAGCATTTGGGATTATCTCCGAGCTGCGATGACTGGCGCTGCTTGTGCATGTAGGTTTCCACGTCGCCGCCCTCCATGAACTCTGTCACAAAAAGAGGTTCCTGCTCCCTGCGACAGTGCCAACTTGTTGCCTAGGCTTAGAGTTATTTAGGGTTTAGGAGTTTAGGACTGCCTGTTTGCAGCTCAGACAACTAAAGGCCGGAGTAGATCGCTTACCCAGAGAGCCCAACACCCCGTCATCAAGGATTTGTAAACACCTCCATCATACTGGGGGGGGAGAGTTCTGCGAGCTTCAGGACATCGGGATGACTTTGTTTAGGGGGCTCGCCAGTAAGTAATGTGTAAAAGTCGTTTGTAATGCAAGAACTCTAAATCCTCCTAAAACCTCCACTTTCAATCTACGTACAAAGCCTGCTGATGCTTACAACACAGTAGGGCCTTTCGTTCATCAACAACCCTAAACCTCAACCCTGCTTAAGGTTCAGATTGACGTTCCTTGATCTTCGGTAAGCATGCCGTGACTGCGGCGGATTCTGGGCTGAGGGCAAGTCCGTAAACCCTAAACCCTGAGCCCCAAAACCCAAATCATAAACTGTGTTAGCATCAAGAGCTGCATCTCAGATTCTATTTGGGTGAGGGCTCCTTTGTATAGTTCGACCTATAGTTCAATAGTAGTTTAATCGTTTTGCAGTAGGAGGGAGTGAATCAACAGAACAACGTCGGTGTATGTTGCGGCGAAGCTCTAGAAAACTGGGACCTCAAAGACCCGCAGGATCCCTAAAGAGTATGATCCTTAACACAAGGGCCCCTCATCCAAGCTCCTGGGCCGCTGCAGTGCAGGTGTTGGGCCCAGTTGCACATGATGCACGTCCATCCCAAAACCCTAATCCAAGAACCGTGCCAATCCTACCTTCGCAACAGAAACGCAAAAAGCCGCAAGTTTCACCGCTATGTTTTGGGCGGTTTCGGGGTTCAGGCGTTTGGGGGTTTAGGGGGTCGGGTGCGGGTGCTTCGAAGTCCGAAGATAGCATTTTCAACATGCTCCCTGAAGTCGGAAGTGTTCTACCTCCCCCTTGCACGTCACGCAATCTGGGGTACCTGGGTTTATGGTTAGGATCTGCAAAACAGAAATGGATTTACCTTCTCAAGAAATCAGCTTTCGGGCTTGCTCGGTTTCGGGTTTAGGGGTCAGCTTTAGGGTTGGCCTTCTAGGGTTTAGCGCCACCTCCCCAGGCCTGCGGGAATTCGGGAAACTTGAACCCAAAAACTACTAGGCTTGGTATTCCCTCTCGTCCGCTTGTAAGGTGAGCAAGAGAGTTGTTGAACACATAGCCTGAAGCAACGCGAGAAAGCGAACGCTGAAGAGCTTTCTTCTGAGGTGGGCAAACCTGAACACCGAAACTTGAAATGCCCTTAGCCCAATATCCGGAAAAGCCGCTAGTATTCATCTTGGGGTTTAGGGCTTGGGGGCTACAAGCCCACAACGCTAGATGCCTCGATACCGTAAATTGGGGATTGTTGCCCAAGGCTCCCCGCCTATCCAGATTCGCTCCCAACAGGTTCACCAAGCAGGGGTGGCTGATCGCAGTCAAAATGTGCATCTCATGCAGCATCTCGCGCACAGACGTCTCCTCACCAGCACAAGCCACATTATACATAAACTGAAGGACCCAACGCAGCCCTCGTAAATCCTGCAAAAAAACTAAACCCTACTAGAGGGTGGATTGAAGTTTGGAGACAAGTTGGATGCTGGCCGGAGCCACTGGAGGCTCAACAAAAAGCAAACTGACCGGCCAACTTCTGGGAAGAGCGCTTGACGCGGTTAGGGCCCTGGGCGCTCAGGCACAGTAGTAAATTCACCAATGACTGTTCATTCTGGCATTTGCAATGCTATAATGGACTATTGGTACTGCTTATTGCACGATTGCAGTAGCACTACGTAGCAGTACGAAGAAGTTCAGGCCAAGGGGTGATTGACTGACCTGACCCAGCGTCGAAGTCACAACTCAATCTCCAAAGCCTAACCCTTACCCTCAAAGGACTCATATTTTAAGGCTTTTGGACCCAAAGACCCTATCGTATAAGGCTCTTGGGCTATTTTGATGCTAAGGGTGATAAAGGGGCCTAACAGTCTCCGATGCAGACGAGCGGCACGTGTCTGCTTTGAGTCTTCATCATCCTCCGATTGCTCCGTTTTTGGGCGGGCGTTCTCTAAGTTAGTCCCTTTAGGGGCCCTTTTGTATAAGGGTGCCGTACTATATGGGGGACCCAAAAAGGGACCCTAATTTTAGAAAACGACCCAGGTATCGAGATGACAGGACCCCCCCCCCCAAAAAAAAAAATCCTGAAGGCCACCTACTCTTCCAGGGTGTCATATCATCCAGGCTTGGCTTGACCACTGCTCTGATCTTGCACCCGTTACCCTAAACCCTGAACCCTAATTAAACCCTAAAACCCTAAACCCTAAACCCTAACCCTAAATCCTAAACCCTAATTAAACCCCAAACCCTTGCCGTGCGCGTCTTAAGTGGCCGTGGAGCTCCCAAGAGATGGCTCAAACCCCACCATGGACCCTAACTGCCTACAGTTGCTATGGGTTTCGGGTTTAGGCATTGAGGGATTAAGCTGCTAAACTGCAGGCAAGATACCTGAACCCAGAGCCATTTGGGCCCTTTCGGCGTTGAGGGCTTCTGTTTCTCAAGGGGTTTAGGGTTTAGGGTTTAGGATTTAGGGTTTAGGGTTTCGGGTTTCTGCCCAAGAGCCTCCAACAGCTTGCAAGAGCACAACCCCTACACTGCCCTACACCCCTGACTCTAAGCCCCTAACCCTCCTAACCCCTCAACCCTAAATCACAAACTCTTAAACCAATCTGCCCGCAACCAGTAAATTATGAACACCGAAAAAGTTACACCTTGGTATAAAACCCTGTGGACCCGCTGAAAGTTGGAGACCCAACTTTTCAAGAGCAATTGAGTCACTCAAGTTCCTACACCTAAATCCCTTTATCACGTCTTTAGCTCCCGCAGCAGGACGTCCCGACCTTATCGACAAGATCACGCTTGATGCGCTTGACGACGGCCTGAGGGTTTAGGGCTTTGAGCTCTGTTAGGGATGGCTCCAGTAATGGTCTGGAGGTCGTATTTCTGAGGATCGAAACCATGGTGAACGACTGCATGCATGCCAATTTCTTAAAACCTGCTGGCAGCAGAAGGGAAACATGATGATGCATACGACTGTCGAAGATGTCAGCAACAAGGCCGCTCAACGTCGACACACACTCACCATCGCCCCAATCACAATGCACATAGTACAAGTGCCCTCATAATTAGAACATGTTGTTGGGTCCTACTATACCACAATTAAGCAGGGGCTGCCCAAAACCCTAAACTTTCCTTCTGCAGGGAGTGTAAGGGAATACGATTAGCAATCTTCCTTATCGGGTCAGCCTCTGCAATAACACAAACATAGGTGCCGTGAGCAACCAATATAGAGGCCTGAACAATTGGAATGGCTTTTCGGAGGGGGTGTGATTTTGTAGTATAGTCAGAAGATGTTAGAAGAAACCCTAAAGATTGTTTGGGTCATCATGTAGGCTTCTATGACAAGCACGACCAAAACCGACACCTTACTCGCCAACATGAACAGCCGAATTGGCATGCACACCCACTACCCCATCACCATCACCACCCATCTACAGCATGAACATCACCAGGGTCATCATGGTAATCGTTGATATCATCGATTTGAAGCCCATAAGCCCTGAGCGAGAATCCTCACGAGCCAAGCAGGCAGAAGCCTGTCAGGCTCAAACCGGAGTTTAGGGTTTAGGGTTTAGGGTTTAGGGTTTAGGGCATCAACGAGTTACGAGAATTGCAAAACCCTGAACCCAAAACCAGAAAGCCTACCGTCCTACACCTCGTCAACGCTAGTAAGCTGGCTGGCTCGCGGGGACGATGCTAAGAGGCGACGGCACTTTCTTGGGGCAAGTTGGTCTGGATCTGTCTTTCTCTGTTTCAGGCGCTGGGTGTCGGACCTATATGCAAACCATAAAACAAAGAGTCTCGAAGGGTGTTAATGAATAGGTGCATGTCTTATGTTTTGAAAACCGTGCTTGACATCCACCGCAGCAAGTAGCCTACCCAGACCGAACATCCAAGTATCAAGTCTACATAAGGTGATAGTTTCCCGCGTTCGAGGGCCGTGCCGTTCGGCCACGCCAATCAGCAAGGCAAACTGTACCTCAGAAATTGCTGCTTTGGCCCTTTGTAGGTAAACGCAATACTGTCTTGTCGGATGACAACTTTGGTAACAAAGCATGAGGTATACCTGCCAGAACTCCAAAGCAATCAATCTCCCAAACTACTGGGGCATCTACTGTAGGGGCCTTAATAATTTAGAAAAGGGTTTTGGGGTATCTATACTATAATCATAACAAGGAACCCCCGTAACTATTCGGACCGCCCATATTACTGCAACCAACCATTGGGGTCCTTGGGATGCTTGGTCTCAACTGTCGGGTCCCAGTACAGACAAGAAGATCTGAGCTCGGCCCACCACATTCGCAGCTCCGAATATTACACCCCACCCGTAGGCTCCTTAGTAGTTCCTTTTTGGGATTGCCTTATAAGATTCTAAATATGAACCATAAAAAGGAACTACTTAGGAGCCTATGGGTAAGCCCTAAACCCCAAACCATTATTGTTGTATGCTCTTGACCCTACACCCTGATTCCCGGACCCTTGCACCCAACATCTTCCAAGTATGTAGGTCATCCCGCACGCACCCCGCCCACCACGAGGAATGGAGTTTCAACTCCACTTCCTTCTTGATGTAGTTTCACGATGCGACTGCAGCCTTTCTATACAACTTGCGAAGAGGAATCTCGCGTTTTTGGAGACTCCTTTCCCCAACAGGGCACCGAAAATTCACGAACACCAACGATTCAAAAGGAGCCTTGTCGCCACTCACCACGACCCACAATAAAACCTGGTATCATGTGTGAAATTGAGTTTAACTACCCATAAACATGGAAGGTGTTACCCAACTATGAGAAAGGTAACCGTTGAGCCAGAATCCAAAGCCCGGTCCCAGGACCACAAACTTCCAAGCCAAGGCATACGAGCTGCTCTTGTAAGTCGTGCAAAGAACTCGCTTCAACACCATGTCCTGCCCAAGACCCCTGCATCTCTACAAAGACCTACAGCCTAAGACAAGCGCCTCAATAGTGACAACAAAGTATTGCGGTACATTCTAGTACCACTACATAGAGCCTAATGCAGGCACCATGATGGCAGAATAACTACTACTGATTGATGCGGCCTGTCTATCACGGTGACCCGTGGAGCACATCACCTTTCGAATCTCTTAACCACTGAAACCTACGGAACCTGTAAATGCATAGAGCATCATAGAACAGTCCCCCACATTCTTACAGCCTGCCAACTCAAGCCCAAACACTACAGCCCCCGACCCCAGCAGGCCGGGCGAAACAAGCTTTCTTCTTAACACTTGCTCCACTAGGCATCTACATGAATGAAGGTGAACCCATTTAGGAGTTCTTCTGCTGAAGATCCTGCCATTCGCACTGGCTTTTGGTAGGGTTCCTCATGTTCTGAAAATCCAGACTCATTCCCTACGAATCTGCAGCGTGCATCCACGGACCCTCCACAAGCAATGCCCAGCTCCAAACCAGAATAGGATCCCTTCTACGAGAGTCCTTCATGCCTGGATGTTGGAGCATCTGGGTATCAAAAGCTGTGGCTTCTCAGGATCGCTGAAGATTCAGGAAAACTGTTTTTTTCGGTGAGTCCCCCGAGATCCACCCGTACCACTTTTTTTGAGATTTGGTGCCTACAGAACAACCAGAATTGGGATGAAGCCCAACCACCCATGCACCCTGCAGCCTTTGAGCCGTAAAGCACCCTGCACCTCCCTGCACCCGTGAGCCCTCAAGCTCCAACGACTCACCATGCACAGACAACATTCAAAAAAATGCTGACCCTAAACCCTAAAACCCTAAAACCCTAAAACCCTAAAACCCTAAACCCCTAAACCCTAAACCCGCCCTAAACCCGAAACCCAGGTCCTCTGGTCGCACCACCAGCTCCTTGGATATGAGACCTCGCATTAGGGTTTTGAGTTAGAATTTAGGGTTTAGGGTTTAGGGGTTTAGGGGTTAGGGTAGGGTTCCTTTTAAGGGCTCCTCTACAGGGTTCTATCCGGGGTTTGGGGGGGGAGCGGTCTCTTCTACTGTCGCCGTATCAGGAATTTTTGCGTTCGTGATGCACCAGGCAGGCCTAAACTTCAACCCGAAACTCTAAACCCTAAACCCTATCTCAAACCCTAAACATCCCTAAACCCTATCTCAGCTTAGCGAATTTCCTTGGACCGGAGCTTTAGCGAAGGTTTTTAGGGATTAGGGCTGCAGGGAGTGGGACACAGGGAGGATTCACGTTTCTTTAGGCTTCATGTTGCTACATGGTTTAGGGTTAAGGCTATCAGGTTTAGCGCTTGGTGATGTTTATGAGGGTTAGGGGAGGGAACTTGGGGTTCAGGGGTAGTAGTACATAATTTGGGTTTAGGGTTTAGGGTTTCATATAAGGGCCTCTAGACT